GCCAAGGGTGACAAGGGAGAGCGCGGCGAGAACGGCAAGCGCGGCGACGAAGGCCCGAAGGGCAACCAGGGCCCGGAAGGCAAGCAAGGACCTCCTGGCCCCAAGGGTGATGACGGCGACCATGAACACGAAGACAAGCCGGCGGACAAGCCCGACAAGCCCGACAAGCCCGCCGACAAGCCCGACAAGCCCGCCGACAAGCCCGACAAGCCCGCCGACAAGCCCGACAAGCCCGCCGACAAGCCCGACAAGCCCGCCGACCCGGCCGACAAGCCCGACAAGCCAGCCGACAAGCCTGACAAGCCCAATCTGCTCGGTGTCTATGGCCGTCATGTTCTTTTGGAGAATGAATCGGAAGGCCATGGCCGTGGTGACGATGACGACGACGCCTCTGACGACAAGAAGGCCGACGACACAAAGGGCGGCCTCCGGGACTTTGTCGACGACAATGACGCCTATGCGACCGAAGGCTTTGTCCACGGCTACGTCCAAGGCTACGTGCACGAGCACGACAAACACCTCGCTGCGGGCGCTCGCGGCAAGAAGGGCCAGCAAGGCAACACGGGCGACAAGGGCGACCGGGGCCAGCGTGGTCCTCGCGGCAATAAGGGCGACAAGGGCGACCGCGGTATCAAGGGCCCGAAGGGCGACAAGGGCGACCACGGCGAGAACGGCAAGCGCGGCGATGAAGGCCCGAAGGGCAACCGGGGCCCGGAAGGCAAGCAAGGTGCCAAGGGCCCCGAGGGCGATGCCGGCGACCACGAACACAAAAACAAACATGACAAGGACGACGACTCGAAAGACGTCAAGTTTGGTCTCTTCTTGGAGACGGCGCCGTATGCGTCCAAGGGCCAGGTGTACGCGCCGCCGAAGGGCAAGCCCCAAGGCCGCGCCACGACGGCGCCGCCGCTTGCCAAGGGCGAGAAGGAGTTCAACCAGTTTTGGAGCTCGGCCAAGTTTTGCGACGCGGAGCTCGCGCTGACCGAGTGCCTCATCCAGTGCAACGTCATCACCGACTTTGCGTCGTCGAGCCGAGTCGCCAAGTGCATCCAGCGCTTCTCCAACACGCTGTGCCCGACGCTGCCGGCCGACGGCTGTGACACGGGGCGCGTCACGCTCTCGCCGCAAAACTGCTCGAGCGATGCAGTGGTCGCGGCCATGTACACGATTGGCGAGATTCAAAAGACGACGATTGGCAACGAGAAGGCGCCGGTGGACCTCTACAAGGCCGACAACCCCGACTCGTTCTCGGCTATCAAGCTCGCGGTTACGATGCAGGCGCTGGTCAACTATGGCAACTGCGTCGGCGGCTCGCTGCTCAACTACGCCGACAAGTGCAATGCCCAGAATTTCTTCAACAGCAACACCAACACGTGCGTCAACGACATCCTCGCCACGTGCAACGGCAAGGCGACGAACGAAGCGACGACGCGCAACCCGATCCAGCTCGGCGACATCCTCACGACACCCAAGGTGCTGCCGGGGCCGCCGACGACGACGGTCTCGCCGTCTCTCGCTTTCCTGAGCGAAGACGATGCATCCAAAGAGCGCTTGTCGGCCAACGACTACATCCGCGACCACCACACAGAGGACGCCAAGGAAGTCGAGAAGCTCAGTGCGCTCATCAAGGGCGCGGACGCGATCGAGTACCGCAAGGTCGAGGTGACGATCACGGAGCACAAGTCGAGCGAGAACGAGGCGGGCCTCTCGGTGTGCCCCAACAGCTACACGCCGCTCAACTACCGCCTCCCGTTCGCCAAGGCGTTCAAGCCCGAGATGTTCAGCGCGGTCGGTGGCATCCCAGCCTCGGTGGTGCCGTACGACGTGCCGGGTTTCCCGCTCGACGACATTGCCTTTCACTTTCCCGCGCAAACGTTCGACCCCAAGACGCTGACGTGGAAGCCGGCGGTGTACGCCAAGGGCACCGCCAACCAGTTCCCCGAAGGCACGCCGCTCGACCCGCTCACGCCCAAGGGCGGCATCCGGGACACGTGCGAGAAGTTTCACTTCCTCTCGATGCTCGCGTGGTTTGCGGGCGAGGACACGGGCGACTACTGCTTCACGATCGACGGCTACACGGCCGAGTTTGTCGAGTCGGGCGAGGTCCACCCGCTGAGCTGGGACGAAGTTCAAGTCGAGAGCCGGTGCTCGGACACGCAGGCACTGACCGCGCGCCAGAACGCCATCAAAGCCGAAGTCACGGTGCTCAAGACGGCGCCCAAGGACGCCATCAACGCCCTCTCGACCAAGCTCGCGGTCGACCAAAGCGCCCTCCTCGGCGTGGCGGTCGCGACGCCAGGGTGCGCGTCGTGCTACAACATCAAGTGGCGCGACCCGGCGTACTGCCCGCGCCACATTGCTCGCTTTGGCATGCAGCTCCGCTGCTGCAAGTCATTTGCCAACACGATGGACGCCCGGATCGCCAAGACGCCGAGCAAGAAGCGCGTCGCCTGCGGCTCGTACTCGGACGAGTGGGACGGTGTGTGCACCGCCGAAGACAACCTCGAGTTTTCGCATACGGTCTACTCCAAGGTCGGGAAGGGCGAGCTCCAGCCGCGCACGTCGTCGTACTACACCAACAAGGACGGCGTGAGCAACAAGGTGCTGCAAATCTTTGCCATCTTCCAAGGCGCGCTCAAGAACCTTAGCGCCACGCAGCAAAAGCTCTTCTTGGAGGTGCTCGCGTTCTTCAACTGGAACACCGACTGCAGCGTGGACGCGGCCCTGACGTTCGACCGGCCGACGCGCACGACGTACGTCAAGGTGCCGGTGGCCGACGACACGGCGATCTGCATCGACAAGCCCGACCACTCGTACATCACGGGCAACGCGTGGTGCGACGCCGCCAACTCGCTCCTGCAGACCAACGTCGACTGGTCGACGCTCCTCGGCCTCGAGCCCAAGGACGGCAAGTGCTACGCGCCCACGTGCCTCCTCTCGCGCTACGTGACGTGCTCCGAAGCTCCGGTGCCGGCGCCCAAGACGAAGGGGTACTACGTGCCCCACGCCCGCGAGTACACGGCGCCCGAGAGCTACGACCGCAAGCTCCTTGCCGCGCCGAATGGCGCCAACGTGTACACGCTCAGCGCGATGGGCTTTATGGCCGGCATGGCCGCGATCGTCGTCGGCCAAGTTGTCCTCGCCGCGCGACGTGACGAGAGCGCCGAGTCGCCGTACCACCAGCAGCTCTTGTAAGACTCCACCCTAGTACTTGCGTCGTCTCTCAATTAAATGTGTTTATTAATAAACTTTCATTTTGTATGACGCGAAAGTGTTCAATATTGTCATTCGACCAATAACTCATTAGCAGCGCCGTCGAACGTACGGCTTTTCGTTTGCTCTTACTTGATGACGGTATAGCCCGCTTGGCTGAAACAAGGTATCCCAATAGCGACAACACGCGGAGGGAGCCATGGTACCCTACGCGCATCGACCGCAAGGACCATACCTCATGTGCTTCCCGACATGGTCCACTCGCGCTCGAGCACCCGCCGATATGCCGGCGGCGACAACCTCGACGTGCAGCCGCCACGACCGCCGAGTCGCTCGTGCGTGCAGCGCTGCAAGGGTGCGATCATGAACGAGTCGCGCAGCTACGCTGTTATCGTCATCGAGAAGCGAGGACGGCATGAGGTACGTGTGTTGCTTGAGAGAATGCGATCATGGATGGTCGATGCTTCTTTGCTACGACTAGACCGCCTAAACTCCTAAACCAACGCAAGCGAGCGACTGCCGTCGGCAGAGTTAACAGAGCCTGTGGGCCGAATGCTGCGATCTCCTCACCCCGACCCGGCGGCGGTGCGGACCCCTGCAAAATGAGAAATGAATGAAAACGCAGTGGCGTGTGGAGGCGTCCAGTGTAATAACTTGTTGTAGGAACAAAAGCCGCCCCGTCGCTCGAACGTGCAGTTGTGCGTGCTGCTCGTTGGCAGCTGCCACGTCATGACCCCGTCGTTGCGCAAATGTACCGTATAAATGACCGTAAATAACATGGCTGTTGAGTGGCAAGAGAGCGGTAAGATTCCATTTGGACGTTTGGGCGGATGGCGATCGTCGACGTGGTGGTGGTCGGTGGCGGCGTCGTGGGCACGGCCATCTTCCGCGAGCTCTGCTTGCGCGGGTACGACGTCGCCCTGCTCGAGAAGAACGCGTACTTGGCCCAAGGCGCGAGCAGCGGCAACTCGGGCATCGCATGCACGGGCTATGACGCGCCTGTCGGTTCGATCGAGGTACTCCATACGCGCATCATCGTAGCTGGCACACGGGTGTATTAGCAAGCGTGCATTCGACGAGGGATCCAGCGCAATGCGGCGGTCCACGCAGAGCTCGGCCTGCCGTCCAACCCTTGCGGCAGCCTTGTGGTCGCGTGGACGCCGGACGAGCTCGCCAAGCTCCCCGCCATCGTCGCCCTCAACCACGACCTCGGTGCGACAACACATTAACGTAAACGCAATGGCCACGAGGTAGCGTAGGTGACACGGACGTGACGATCCTTGACGCCGACGCCTTGTACGCGCTCGAGCCCGCTTTGGCCGCCGGCGCGCTCGGCGCCGTCCGAGTCCCTGGCGAAGTCGTCGTCGAGCCATGGCTCATCCCGATGGCGTATGCTCTGCACGGGCTCGTCAACGGCGGCAGTATCCGCACGAACCACTGCGTCGCGTCCGGCGCCTTTTCGCCGTCGACGGTACCCTCGTCCCTTCTGGCGTGCTTGGACAATCTGTCTAGCACACGTGGACGCTACACTGCACGAACGGCGCGACCGTCGATGCGCGCTGCGTCATCAACTGCGCCGGCAACTATGGCGATGTCGTCGAGGCCATCCACACACCGGACGCCGTGCCCTTTGCTGTCCGTGCGTCATATTGGTGTCAGCTTCGTCGATATTGGACTAGATTCGTCCGCGAAAAGGCCAGTTTGTCGTGTTTGGCGGACCCAATGTCCCGAGCCTCGGCCACGTACTCCAGCCGGTCCCGACGCACCGCACCAAAGGCGTGTTCGTCTTCCAGTCGGTCTACCATCAGATCATCGTCGGCTCGCTCGTACTCGCGAGGGCTGTCACGTCAAGGTGTGTATGGCGTAGGTGGGACCGACTGCCGAAGACCAAGAGGCCCGTGAGCACCCAACGACCGACCCGCTCACGCTCGCGCGTCTCGCCGACTTTGGCGAGCGCATTGTGCCCGGCCTGGCCGCGACACCCATCGTGGGGTCCTATGCTGGTATACCTCACGACTCTGCTAGTCGACCATCGACGACGAACGCTAGGACTTCGACCGGCGACGCAGCACCGCGACTACCAGCTCTCGCTTCACGTACCAAAGCGCTGGATCACTGTCGCGGGCATTCGGTCGACGGGCGTCACGGCGTCGCTCGGCATCGCCGAGCGCGTGGCCTGCGACTTTGTGCCGCAGCTTCCGGGCTTGGCGCCGCGCCCGCTGAAGAAACCCGTGGGCTTCCGCCTCCCGCCGATCGCGACGCTCGCAGCAGCCATGCACCCGACCGACTTCACGCTTGAGCTGCACGGTATGACGTGGCGCGTCGACCACGCGATCACGCGCTACGGCTGGCATGCGCTGCATCATGACACGCCCGTGCCTCGTCTGTAGCCGCTGCTTATGACAACACGAAGGACACTTCGCTCAACTGCCGCTGGCGTCCTATTTCATGCATCGCATACGTGGTAGTAGTATGTGTATGGTTTGCTGTGATGCTACTCCTTGTCGAGGACAACGTCGTCTTGGCGCTCTTCGACGACGAGCGCGCCGTGCTTCTTGGTGAGCTTCTCGGTGAGCATGGTGCGGAACTCGGCCATGACGTTGTTTTCGCGCTGCTGCTTTTCTTCAAAGTTGATGAGCGCGAGCGCGCGCTTCTCCTCGGCCGAGTACACTTGGTTCTCCTTCCGGATGCGCACAGCGTTCATGCGCTGGTGGCGCGACCCGCTCATGACGTACCCGGCCGTCTCGAGCGACTCGATTTCGTTGCCGCTCCAGCCGACTTCGCCGCGCCGCGGAATGCGCATGTTCTTTTGCACATATTGCGCAATGGCCGCGCCTTCGCCCGGAAGCAAGTCGCGGCCGTACGAGCCGCCGCCCTTGCCGCTACTCTCGCTGTCGGGCATGGGCATGGGCCCAATGACCTCGGGCTCGTCGTCAAGGGTTGCGGCGTGGTGGCCTTGGACCGCGTCGCGAAACTGACTTGCTTCGAGCGCGTCGGCAGCGTTGAGCGGCGACGATGACGGCTTGTTGGTATGCACGTCGCTCTCGTCGCTGCTGCTACTGTCGCTGTCGCTGCTCGGACTTGGGCTGCGCCGACGCTTCTTGGACGAGGACTTGGAGGTTTGCTTGTGTTTCGACGACGTCTTCGTCTTCTTCTTTGCCTTGGCCGACGACGACGATTTGCGCGACGAGGCCTTCTTACTGCGTCGACGGCGGCGGTCGTCGTCGTCTTTGCTGCTCTCTGAGGACGAGGACGAGGCGGCTGGCGACGGCGACCGACGCGACGGCTTCTCGGGCTCCTTCGTGGCCTTGGGTGGCGGCGACGGCGGACTCGGAAACGTTGACCAGATGTTAAACACTTTGGCCTTGCGCTCGTCAATGCGCGCTTGGTAGTAGTCCGAGTCCATCGACCCACCGTAGCCCGCCGACGGGCGAGACGAGAGGCTGCTGCCGTACTTGCTCATGCCACCGCTGCTTCGCCCATCGTGGGCTGGCGGCTTGGTCGATCGCGGGCTGCGCTCACGGTTGCGGTCGATGGATCGCCGTGCATTGCGATCTGACGTGTCGGTCCGTGAACGATCCGAGCTGCGTCGGCCTCGCTCGGACTCTCGGCGACGGGGCGAGCGGTCAACCTCCCGCCGCTCTCGACCGCTGTCCTCGCCGCGGTCACGCGACCGCCGACTGTCCCGCGAGCGACCAAACTGATCCACGTTTCCGTTTCGATCGCGGGAGCGCTTGGCCTCGCGCGCGGGGCGCCGATCGCGGCTGCTGCTTCGGCGGCCTCTGCTGCGGCTGCGACTACGCATCCCGATGAATGTACACTATTTGCTTCGCTTCCATATTTCGATTGGTCGTTTCTTTCTTACATTATTTACGAAATCAAATTTATAGTGTACTATACAACACAATTTAAAGTGCCCCGATATAGTATTTGATCGCCAGCATTTGCATTTGAATTTCAAAAGGAGCGAGATGGCGTTCGAGTACCGGCGGCTGCTCGAGGACGACCGCGCCAAGGCGTACCTGCGCAGCTTCGCCTCGGAGCGCAGTCACTGGAACGAGCTCGTCGAGGCCACGTTCCTCTACGGCGTGCACTGCATTGCGCAAAACTACGCGCTGCATACGCTGACCACCGACCAAGTCGTCGACATCACACGTACGCCTTCTCTCCTCGGCCATCGCCGCTAAGACCAATCTTGTAGGGGCTACGCTCAAGAAGCCGCTGCACTACCATGCCACGCATGCGGTCCATGCGCACGAGGCAGCGCCAAAGCGCGCAATGGCGGCCAAACCCTCGTCGTCGTGGCGGCGTGGCAGCGCGGACGAGCCAAGCCCGAACCCGGTCGCGCCGCCACCGCCCACGACTCCAGCACCGGCGCTTCCCGACGGTACACACCGCGACCAAGCGCATGCTACATGATCTCGCTTTAGGACGCCAGGAGCTCGAGATGTACGCGGCGCTCGTGGGCAAGCCGTGGATGCAAGCGGCATGGCAATCGTTCGTCGCGACGACCGGGTATCCGTCCATCGACGTCGACGCGTCCGAAGACGCGTTCTACACCGCGTACGACGCACTGCGCGCTGCGCCGACGCTGACGCCGCACCCGGCGCCCCGAACGTTTCTCGATTTTGTGCGCGCTGCCTTGTTGCACGGCTTGCGCCCGCCGGTCGGGACAGATGTCGCACCACCAACGATACAAGCCCCAAACACCGTGGATACGTCAAGCCAGCTTAACCCAGCAAAGATGGACGTATCATGTGACCAGCGTCGTCCAGCAACGACGTCCACGACACGAAGCCAGCCTAGTCCGGCCAAGGCGACGACGAGAAGCCAGCCCAGCACACCGAGAGCGAGATCCCTTACCTCAGCGAGGACAACAACAACAACGTCCAAGGTGAAGACGGAGCTCGAGGCGCCAAAGGCCAACGTGCTTCGCGTCCGGAAGAACACGACGCAGCGCCTGCACGAAGCGCTCGCCAAGCACAAGCGCAATGCCAATGACGCTACCACGTCGGTGCCACCCCGCGCGACGTCGCGCCCAATAGCTCGCCCAGGTACAAGAGCGCTTGACCCTCGTGTACGTCAAGCAGCCAAGTAGGCTCCAAGGCGCTTGAGATCGCCGAGATGCTGGCAGCCAGTCCGTTCTTGCAGACGGTCGAGACGTACGTTCGGTGACGCGTTTCCACGCTCATGCAGGATAAGGACACTTCCCGAGCCAACGACTACCGAGCCAACGCTGCAGTCGGAGCTCTACGGACCCGACCTGGTCGACACGGACGGCTGCAGAGGTGCTGCTTCTACCTCGCAATGGCGTAGCCTCAACCATCGTCCTAGCTCCATCAGCGAATCGGCAGCGCGCCAAAGACGCTCTCAAGCCCAAACGCCACGGTAGGTTCGCTAGCGATTGCAGTTGAGGTGACGGAATCGGTCTAGTCGACTACAAGGGCTGGCTTGGCGACTACGGACCCGCTCATACGCGCACGCTGGTGCCTGGCGACTGGAGTGAGCTCGATGACGCCGACACGCGTTGGCTCCAGCAACGCCGTACCTACAGCTCCGACTCGTTGGTGGTGCTGATGCCAGTGCGTGTTAGGCGGCACCAAAGCCGGGGACCTGCCCCCCTTCGAGTGGAACTTGGATGCGTACTCACGGAGCTCTTGCAGCACAGGTCTGACGCGACGGTGTAGGATCGACGTCGAGGTTCCGCAAGAGTCTTCGGGCACATCTGCAGTGCACACGTCCGACATCGACCCCGCTTTCGAATGGCTCGTGCCCGAGTCCAGGCGAGTCTAAGTCAAAATTTGACTTAGTAGTAGCAAATACTAGATTTTTTTCTTTTTATGGGGATTTTTGCAGTAGCAAGAGCAAGTGGACGCTTGTGTACAGTAGGTAGACGCCAAAGAGCACCTTGCCGTACCACTTGGGGCACTGGAAGCGAGAGAAGGCGACCACACTGAGCGTACAGACCAGACTCAGCACGAGGAAGCCGAGCGACACCTTGCAGTGCACGTCCCAAGCCACGTGCGTCGTCGACGTCATCGATGCGAGTCGCGCTAACAGCATCGGCAGACCGAGGCCAATGAGAAGGTTGAAGACGGGACCGCCAAAGCAGCCGGCGAGCGCCATCTCAGGGCACCCGCCGCGCGCAATCGCCACGTTCGTGCTCCAGTCACCGATCGAGTTGCCCCACGAGAGGATCTACAGACTTTGTATCAATCTATCGAGATATCGAGAGATCCACGGACCGTGAGGCCCACAACGCTCGGCGGTAGCGTGGTGATGTGCCCGACAGCCGCGAGCACCGCGACGAGCTCGGCTGCGAGGCCATAGATCCAAGCGACGCAGGCAACAAAACCGAGGGTGTAGAAACCCATGATAAGCGACCGCGACGTCGGCGCTGTCCGGTGGTACGTGCCAACGTACACGGCGAGCGAGAGCCCGAGACAGCAGCTCAGAACAGCAACCAAGCGGTGCGGCCGGGCATCGACAAGCCCGCCGAGCCAGAGCACAAACAAGCTCGTGGTGGTGACACTGAGCGCCGCGCGGCGACGCGACCAGCCGTTGACGCGCACGACGACCATGGGGATCGTCAGCTCGCGGGGTAGGTCCAAGAGCAGGTAGCGGACGTGACGCCAGTGCAGGCGCGGCACACGACGCCAGTGCCAGCGCCGACCAGGAGGACGTGGTGGCGGTGACGCGACCTCGTCACTGGTCTCGTCGAGGAGCGGCGACGCAAGGGTGTCTTCGCTCGAGCCAAAGTATGTGTCGTATATGGCGCCGTCAAACGCTTGCGATGGTGCAGGAGTCGTCGATGCTTGCGTGATCGTTGTCATGGTGACAAACTTGTACGCTGGTGGAGACGTCTCGAAGAGCTGGGGCGCGTGCCAGAACGCAAAGAGCACGCCATGGTGATCGTCCTTGGGCGATGGCGTCGCCCAGCAGGTCGGGAGCACGACGAGGAGCACGTAGAGGGCGTAGACGAGCGGGAACGCGGCCATGTACATGGTAGACGCTTCGAGGACGCAGAGAATGATGAGCCCGACAGCGAAAAGCAGCGAGAGCACGTCGCGGCAAAACGCGCGGGGTGCAATCGCGACGAACGGCGACGTGGACGCGACGAGGACGGCGCCGACGACCATGGTCGTGACAAACATGGCGCCGCCGAGGAGCGCGTTGAGTCCGGTCTCCATCGCGCCTGACGATGACGAAGCGAGCGACGAGAAGACGTCGGGCGCACCTAGGTGGCATGAGCCTCCATCGCAAATCTGGTCAAAAGGTACCGTTTCCAAAGGCGAGCAAGGTGACGCCGGCCACGTCGAATGGAATGTGAAACTAGCGCAGCATGAGCATGCGCCGAGCCGTGACCATCGCACCTGGGTGCAGAGCGTCGAGAGCGTCGGCGAAAAGTACTCGTCGGCCGTGTTGCCCACTAGTCGAGGAGGATGCATGAGCATGCTGCGATCGAGGCGACAGCGTACGAAGGTAGAAGAGAAGGACGAGCCATACAGCGAGGAGTAGGCAGGACGCCCATGCCCACCCGGCCATGCTGCAGTAGTGGAACTCGAGGTAGTTGATCCCGAGCGGGCCCATCTCCATGTCATAGGAGCAGTTCATGGCAGGCGGCAAGATCTCGAGTCGGATTTCTTTTTCGGTGTTTTTTCTTTCCCGAGTAATTAATTCATATTCGTGCCAGCCTACTTGATATTTGTATCCGGCATTAAACTAAATTTAAAAAGTGGATGTCGGGGCTGAAATATTAACGACGACAGCAATCTTTCAGTTGGCTAATCGCACGCATTTCTCGCCGACATGCACCCCACCGAACGAGTGGAGGCAAGTTCGGATAGTGCGAGTGCTTGCAAAGCTACTCAATGGCTTGTATTGAGTGTATAAAGTGTACATTCGGCGAGATTTCCAGTGAATATTGGCGTCGGGTGGGGCGTGGAGCGGCGTAAGAGGCGTGCGTTTAGCCAATTTTATTCCACAGCCATTTCTGAGCGAATTACGGCACCTAATTCCTACTGCCGATAGATTGGTGTGTTGTGTAAAATATACCTTGTTATTTGTATGGGTATTGATTGTGCAAAAAAAACTTGAGATTGCAAAGCGCCGGCCAAGGTGTGGTGCGAGATATTTGGGTATCTTGCGCGCCTGTGACGGGATGGTACTGCTGCCTCGAGGGTCATGGCCCATGACCGCGCTCTCGTAGGTCGAGGTAGATGCACCGGCGATGCCAGACGTGGCGATGACCAAGGCGCAGAAGAAGAAGAACCGCAAGAAGGCCAAGAAGAAGGACGACGAGTCGGCGCAGGACGCGCCCGAGGCCCCCGAGCCAGCGACCGAGCCGCCGGTCTACCGCATGGAGCGACCCGCCGTGTCTGAGCTCCGCGTGCCAACGGCGAAGGAGGCTCCGATTCCGTCGCCGGCGCAGCAAAAGGACATTGTCCACAGCCTCATGCTGCAGTCCAAGCAACATGTACGTTCCATCGCCTGACGTCTCGCTCATGCAGGAACGCGCGATAGGGCATGAAGGTCGGCGAGAAGTTCTTTGTCGTCAACTACAAGTGGTGGGAGTGCTGGTGCGACTATGTCGGCTACCTAGGTAGGTTGCGTGACAGCATCAAATGTTCACCTCTGTGCACTAGTAGCCAAGGGCGGTGCTTCGCGGCCGCTTCCGTCGTCCAAGCCGCCAACTATCAGCAACAGCTCGCTCCTCGATCCTGCGTGCGACCAGATGGACCACGTCGTCGGCTCGGCGCTCCTGCCCGGTCTCGTCGAGCACAGCGATTACTTTCTCGTTCCGTCCGAGGTCTGGTCTGCTCTGACCGTCTGGTACGCGGGTGGCCCGCCCATCTGCCGCTTCGTCGTCGGCGTCGGCGAGCCGTCGTCGCCGCAGTACTTTACGCGCGTCGAAGTCTACCCCGAGACGGCCGGTGACAGTGACGTCGAGATGGACGTCGAGTCGTCGTCGTCGCCGCCAACACCGACGCCGACGTCCAAGTGCACTGTGTGTGGCCGACCGAGCCGCAATCGTTGTGCTGTCTGCAAGACGCCGTACTACTGCTCCAAGCAGTGTCAGAGCGCGCACTGGAAATACCACAAGAGCGTCTGCCGCGTCATCAAAGGTTGTCAACGCACAAGGATTCGCTGGCTCATGAGGATGACGGGTGCTAGGTGGCGGGTCGATCTCGGCCGTCGAGACTCACGGCCGGCGCGGCCAAACCGGCCTCCGCAACCTCGGCAACACGTGCTTCATGAACGCGGCGCTGCAGTGCCTGAGCCACACGCCCGTGCTCACGGCGCACTTTCTCACGAATTTGTACCAAGCGGACCTCAACACGGACAACGTCCTGGGCACGGGAGGGCAGCTCGCAACCGAGTACGCGGTGTTGCTCAAGGACCTTTGGTTTGGCGCGGCTTCGAGCGTGACCCCGGCGGCGCTCAAGCGATCGCTCGCGCGCTACGCACCGCAGGTACAGTATCAATGTATCAATTATCGGTAACCGAGTGCTTGGTAGTTTTCGGGCTACCAGCAGCACGATGCGCAAGAGCTACTGGCGTACCTCCTCGACGGTCTCCACGAAGACGTCAACCGGATCCAGAAGAAGCCGTACATTGAGATCCAAGAGTCGAACGGTTCGCAGCCGGACGCAGTGATTAGCGACCAAGCGTGGCACAACCACTGCCTCCGCAACCAAAGCATCTTTGTCGAGCAGCTCCAAGGCCAGTTCAAGAGCACGGTCGTCTGTCCGACGTGCGACCGCATCTCGATCACGTTTGACCCGTTCAACGTCATCCAGCTCGAGCTGCCGACCGACGCCAACCGGCACTTCGACGTACGACGTCAGCTGCTCTCCAAATGCTCTGAACGCGTCGACATAGGTGCTCAGCGTGCCCTTCTTTACCAAGGCCTCGTATGCGGAAGAGAGTCGTGAGCATTTGGGGCCGACGCACTACCGGCCCAGTGTCCCCAAGCGCGGCACAGTCGCCCAGCTCAAGGTATCGCCCTCCACGCTCTGTAAAGAGTTGGCGCTTATGTTAAACTATCGCAGAAAGCGCTCGCGGGCATGGGCTGCACCAAGACGCAGCATGTGCTCTGCGACGTCTTCCAGTCGATGGTCTACCGCGTGCTGCAGGACGCCGAGCGCGTCGCTCGCATCCGGTCGGACGACCGCTTGGTGTGCTACGACGTGCCCCTCGGCTCGGCCGTCGTGTTTTGCTACCACCGCAAGTACGTTCAACGTTGCACGTTTTACGTTTAACGTGCGTGAACTTAGGGCGTCCGGGCAGCTCTTTGGGGACCCGATCTTGCTCTCGTACACGGCGGCGACGACCTGCGAAGAGTGCGTTATCCCATCGACTGATCGACTGATATATTGATACTTGTAGACTGGTCCGCAACCTGACGTACCAAGTGTGGCCTTTGGTCGCCCCGGCCGTCCTGCAGGTACGTGCTATCGTGTGTTGGCGAATAAAATCGCATGGCGCGTCGTAGGTCCCAGAGGGCAAGAAGGCGCACGTGGAGCTGCTCAAGCTCCTCGCCAAGCACGTACGTCGTTCTTGTCGTCGGCTTTGGGTGGTCGCTCATGCGTCGCAGGTGTACCTCGCCAACCAAGATGGCGCCAACGTGCCCGGTGCTGTCTCGCTCGATGACTGGAGCGCGTTCTTGCCAAGTGCAAGTGTCGCGTCCTTGGGCCTGGTACCTTTTTTTGATATTTTTTGATTATTCATCGCATGTGCATAGGGCGACTGCGCGTACTTTGGCATCGACTGGACCGACGATCTAGTCTACCAAGAGCCCGAGATGGACGTGCACGCGTCGGCGCAGCTCGCCAAGGTGGCCAAGGCCGATGGCATCTCGCTCGACAGTTGCTTCAAGAAGGTCGACTCCGAGAGCTTTGTCTTTCGCTGACGACTTGGTAGTTTACGAGCCCGGAAGAGCTCGACGAGGACAACTTGTGGTACTGCAGCCAGTGCAAGGAGCACCGCCAGGTATTGGACTTGTCTTTAGTATAAGTATCAACCTCGTGGCGCAGGCGACCAAGACGATGCAGCTATACAAACTGCCCAACATCCTCATCCTCTCCCTCAAGCGGTTCGAGTACCGGTACCGTCTGTTGTATCAAACGGGAGATTTGACCAAATTACGTGTAGGAACGAAGTGGTGCGGGAAAAGCTCGATATTATGGTCGACTTTCCGCTCGAAGGGCTCGACATGGGCCCGTACTGTCTGTCGGCACAGGACGGCATGGTCTACGACCTGTACGCGGTCACCAACCACTACGGTTCGATGGGCTTTGGTCACTACACGGCGTACGCCAAAGGTATGCACACGATTGTCATCTTTGCGTATATATATACTGGCCAATGTAGATTCCGAGCACAATTTGTGGTATACGTTTGACGACAGCAGCGTCACGCCTGTCAGCGCGTCGCAAACCGTCTCGAACGCCGCGTACATTTTGTTTTACAAGCGCCGCGAGCTCTAAGACGCCGCGTAACTCACTGCATGCTTAGATGCTTTTGCTGTTGTTTGCGTATTTGCGTTGGCCGATAGAGCGCTACGGTCGCGTCCAACGGCGTTGGTGCCAGCCGCCCTTCGCGCTCCAACCAGCGCTTGCGCTCGGCCTGGAAGACAGCGGGCGGTAGATTCAAGTGGCGCGACGCCAGATACTGCTTGCACGGCGAGACAAGGCCATCGATAGAGACGGTGGGCAGCGCAGCGGATACCTGCTGGCGAGGCGCGAGCGGCGAGAGGCGCGTCGGTTTGGTCGGCGTCGGGGGCAGCGGCTGCCCCGACACGCGCGACTGCACCTCGAGCGGCGCGCTAGACAATCGAGGCAAGTGGCCTAGGGTTCGATCTATGTACCTGCCCACGAAATCGCTAAAGCCCAAGGCGTTGGCGGCTTGGAGCCGAAAATGCACGAACGCGTCATGGTGCTGCAGGTCGTCGGCGCTGGGACAGTAGGTGGGCTCGACGCCGACGTAGACGCCGCGCCAAGGAAGCGTCAGCTGCTGACCGTCGTGGGACCACGCCATCTCGAGGGCGTACCCGTGGATCGACGCGCCGTTGGGTGTCGCGGGCGCCCAGTGCACGCGGAGGTAGCTCGTCGCGACAAACCGCGCTGGCCTCCCAACCGGCAAGACAATCTCTTCGACGTGAAGCACAAGCGGAGGGTCGGGCGCGCACGCTGTCGTTTCAAACGCAATGTCGGCGCTGGCGGCAACCAGCGCAAGGCCGTCGATCGTGCACGTGCAGCACAACCGCCCGCGGTAGCTCGTGGCCGGCAGCAGTCCACGTAAGGTTAGGGTATTGTGGACGTGGTCGTCGACACTCGCGTCTCTCGGCAGTGGCTCGAACGTACAAAGGACGGTCTCTATGTGAAGATGCGGTGGCAGCTGCGTGCGGTGCAGACCGCCAAAGTGCAATGTCACGTGACGCGCGTCGGCCAGCGCCACGGTCGGTGGTGCCGGCGCTATGAGCCACTTTATGAGACCGTGGGGCATCTCATGATACCGGTGAGGCAGAGGGTGGGCGCGCCCGGAAGCGCGCAGAGGGTCCCGACTCGTGTTTGGAGGCGCAACCACAGCACGTGGAGCGGCAAGCCCATCTCAGGCGTCTCGTACGTAGTGTCGAAGGTCGAAAACCTAATAGCAGTGTCGATGTGCCAGTCGCTGGACGACCGACCGTGTTTCAAAGCGACGGTGCGACGGCACGTAGCACTGGATGTCGTACTCGGCATGCGCGTCGGGCGCTGGTGGCCACGACAGTTGCAACTGGCCATTGTCGAGCGCTTGGATCGTCAGGAGGCCGCAGCCTAGTGGCATTGCTCGAAAAAGAGTGATGGCAAAGACGCAGCGCCACCGGTGAGAAACGTGGTTTGCGCAATGGCTTCAAACGCATGGGTGGTGGTCCAGCGTACGCTTAGCCGCACGAGACACTCCTAGAAGATTCGACCGTGTCCCTAGTCAATGCAGACGACGACGACATACGCAGTGCGATGGCAGCGACCGAAGGCGGCCTTCAAGCCGACAGACACCGTCCGTTCTCGTGGCTACTGTCACAGGCGCGGCGTCGACCCATGCCCCGTCGTGCTCGATCTCGACGCGACTCTCGAGGCCGGTGCGACACCAGTCGGGCGTCGGGAGACTGAGCACGAGCAGTGCGCTCGCGTGCGTAACGTCGACAACGTCGACCGTGCAAGGAGGCCAGGCGGTCGAGTACGACACACCCGCGAGCGGCGATGTAAACTGCTCGTCAATTTCAGCGACGACCGCGCACGTGTAGGTTGTCGCGCGCGCCAGCACCACATCAGTGACGTACGTGTTGCTGTCGGGTTCATAAAATAGGGTCGGCGCAGGTTCGAGACGTTCCAGCGGCGTGCGATCTCGGGACAGCCACACGTGGAAGCGCGCCGAGTACTCGACCAGGTGCGGCGGCAGCGCCCAGGACCACTCGAGCCGCAGGTGGCACCCAATGCCGCGTAGGCGAAGCGGAATGGCTTGGACAACGGCGACTGGTACGGACGATGCTACATCTGCCGAGCCAGTGTGCAGCGTCAAGCGGTACACCTCGAGCAGCTCTTGCGGTGCCACGTCCACGACCATCGATGACGCCGCGTTGTCACGATTCGCTGGCGCGTCACTGGTGGTCCACGTGTCGTTGGCGGTGTAGACTTGGAGTTCGAGTCGTACAGCGGACGTGGCGAGCCAAGGGGGAAGGGTCGACCAACGCAGCTGCGTGGAAGGCAAGTGGGATACAACGGCATCGAGATGCAGAGAAAGCGACGTGCGAAGGCGCTCGGGAGGCGATGTCGCCGCACAGCACCCGCTCTGCACTTGGAGGTGGACATTGTACTCGGTGTCGGGTTGCAGGTGGAGTAGCCTGTACGGCGTATCAAAGTTACGGAGCGGTTGCTGCATGGTCTCGCTACCGGTGCTGACAACAACCGTCCAAGCACCTGCCGACGCAAGCGCGTCACTCAACGCAGCGTGGAGCCACCAGTGCTGCTGGGCGCCCCAGACGCACACCATGGCCGGTGCCGTCACGATGGAGAGAAGCGTCCAGTCGCTCGTTTCTGCGGTCGCGCCGAGCAGTGCTGTGCCAACGATGTCGGCACAGTGTGTCAGACGCGCGCGGAAGACGAGTCGTGACTGCGGAGGCAAGTCCGTCACCCGCACCGAACCGACAAGGCCATTATACTCGAGGCGCCAAACGTCGTCGTCACCGATGCACCGTTCAAGCTGCAGTGAGGCACAATGCAAAAGCTCGAGGGGCCACGTCGGCCAGGAAAAGGTCGCGGACGATACATCGCTCTGAACGGCCGGTGGCGGAAGACTGGCGCACCGCGTCACAACCTCCCATGGGGAGAACAAGACGGCGGCGTCGTCGCTCTCGTCGTCGGTGGGCAGTGACGTGGCGACGCCGAGCCGAAACCACACGCTATTTGATAACAGAGCGAGTTGAAAGCGAGTCGTGGTCTATGCAAACGAACGATGAGTTATCACGAACACAAACCGTGGTGACGACGTTCAGAAGGGTGTCGAGGGGCTGCCACGGCACGACAGCGACCGGCGGGTCGTCCTCCGCGTAGCCGACGTCAATGCATAGAAAAAACAAGTGTTGGGGCAGCTCCAGGTGGTCCCAGCGCCAGAGCACGACGGGTCCAAGGCTCGTGACCGAGAGCTGCGTAAGAAGAACGTCAAGTGCTTGCTGCAACTGAAAAGACACGCGGCTGTGACTGGCAATACTACTGTCGTCCGGGGACCCGATTGAAATGTGGTAGGAGCTTGTCGAGGATGGTGACAAGGTTTCTGGTGCGTCGAGTGCCAGCTCTGGCGCGTCGAATGTCAGATCTGGCGCGTCCAACGAGACAGAGTCTGGAACGATCGGCCACTCTGCGTCGTCAGCCGGAAGGGCCTCGTTGTCGTCGTCGAGTCGAGGGGAGTCGGTGACGCTGCTGTCGTCGAGTGGCGCGACTGCAATCGCATACGAGGTCGAGTCGGTGTCGTCTACGTCCATGCTCTTCCGCGGCCGTTCCACGCCGTTTCAGAAATGACAACTTGTACACAATTTCTTACGGATACTCAACCACACAGCGCGTCTCGTATTCACATGACCATACACACTTGACAACTAGACCGACACTTCTCCTGGCACGCGATCCCCCGTCCACATCACTTCGTCCTCGTGGATGCCTTTGGGGGCGGCCATTTTGGTCTCCAAGCTCTGGACGTAGAGCTCGGCGGCGAGGCGGCGCGTGGCGATCTTGACAAAGACAACGGCGGCGAGGCCCAAGACGACGACAGCGACGACAATGACAATCACAGTGTGGCCGCCACCGGGCTCCGATCTGGCCCCCGCGGCGGCGTCAGCGCTCGACATGACCACGGCTGGCAGCGAGAGAAGCATGTCACGCCACGGCGTTGCGCTCAGCGCCGAGAGTGAACTGTTGGCGGCGTCCCAGACGCAGTCGGGCGTCGTAGAATTGCGTGCCAGCGCCTGCAGCGACGCGTAGACTGCGCGACAAGCCTCGTTGGCTTCAAAAGACGCGGGGAGCGTCGCGTTGTGAGCGAGCACGACGTCGTAAAAGGCGGCGAGCGACTGCGCGCGACAGAGGCGAGCGTTCTCCGAGTCGATTGCGAGCGCGACGAGCGGGCGCAGCACGCTGCTTGCGCACGTCATTCGCGTCGATAGGAAGAATAGAAAGAATAGAAAGTAATAATGCATGCGGGCGTCTCTGACGCGCGACAGTCGGTCGTAGTCCCACCCTCGTCGTCATACGTCGTCGTGACGCGCCGGCTTGTTATCGTTTGGGCGGTGGTCGTGGCGGCAGCGCATTGCCCTCGCTGGTAAAACCTTATAATTTATTCCAGTGAATTGAATGGCTCGATATTGACACAGGTTAGCCGTCAACAGGATTCCAAAAAAGGTCGTCCCAGCACTTGCATGATCGAGGTGAGCTGGCGGGTTGCGCTGCACACACCAGATGGTATTGTGGAACGATCCTCGAACACGCTCACTTTGCACATTAACAAAGTAAATGTGCAATGTGAGCGTTTGCAAAAAAATGTAGCGCAAACCATGGGCAATTAGGAGTCCTAGTCCCTAGCAACTCTATAAACATCGAGTGGTATCATTCGGTTGTGAATTGCAGGTGTATGTCATCGACCACCTTAATGGGCTGCGTGCGTCGCGCATTGGACGTTGCGGCTCTCATGACATGCAACGCAGGACGAGATGTACAGTGTCCACCAATGTACTTACGGCGCAAGAGCCAGACGCGGTGAAATATCAGAAATATATAAGATCTTAGTCGCGAAGGTCGCCGCACCCGTCCTTGGCCGCGAGCCCCAAGGCCTTGAGTTGGCGTGCAAGCTGCGTGAGGACGACCGCGAGGCGCGAACCACCGACGACAAACTGCTTTTCGACGACGCGGAGAAGGCGCGCCTGGTAGGCGGGCGACGGGCACGGCACAAAGCCCTTGGCGTTGAACGTCAAGTCCAAGCCTTCGTAAGCGGCCGATTTTGCCAGCACAAACGAGTCGACGATCGTGCGGGGAAAGAGATCCTTGGTCATGACTTGTGCAAACTCGGCGTAGGGCACATCCTTGTACGCTGCATAGTCGACCGCATCGGCCGAGAGATTCTTGCCGTACGCTGCTATGAGGCGCGTCGCGTTCGAACGCAAGAGCTCCCGGCTCGGCGACCCCGGCACCATGTTTGGTGTCCAGTTGGTCGAGTACTCGCCCGCAGCGCTGTCCCAGATCGCGTGGAGGTTGCTGGCGCTGCAGGGGAAGGCAAACTTGTGCTTGTTGCCGCCGAGGTCGCCATTGGGCAGCGCGTCCGAGACGCCGGTCGCCGTGTGCATTGGCTGGTGAATGTCGGTGAACGCATGCAGAAAGTACCGCAGCATAAAGTTGGCAGCCCAGTTGGACTGCGTCGTCGCAAACGTCTTGAGCGTCTTGGTCATGACGTCCAGTGCAAGCCCATCCAGCGATGCTTTCAAGAGCGCGTTGACGTCACGCGGCGAGACACCATGGTAGTCGGACCCGTTCGTGAAGAATGGGAGGTTGACGTAGTGCCAATTGTCCATCGAGCTGACCGACGGCCGGAGCGGTGACGGACAGTACGTGGCCGACGTCGACGCGCACTTGAGCAAGTCGGGCCAAATGACGGCGGTCGCGACGTCGCCCGTGTTGGGGAAGTCGTCGTCCCACTTGTGCAGGACGCTCTGGAGCACGGCCACGTCGTCGGTCGTCATGAGCTGCGCCGCGATCTCCGCCGTCAGCATGTGCCCGCCGTCCCACCACGCCAGGACTGGCGCCGCGGCAAGCGCCATCGTCGCCATCCATCCAAGCAGCATGATCGTTGTGTTCTTCAGTACTAAATGCAAAAATGCGGTCGCCCCGTAGCGACCAAGGAAAAAAAGCTGGCGCATGGGTATCGTCCGACCTCGTCCGACCCAAAGAGCTACCCAAAGGCACCTCATTGACCGATGGGTGTCGCGAATCACAGAGGCGGCTCCTGGATGCGCTCGAAACAACTTCAACTGTACGCACTGTGTCTGGTAATCTCTGATGGCCTTTTTATGACGAAAAGGTTTGTCTACGCTCGCAGCGACTACGGAGGAAAATGCATGTCGCGCGCCCCTTTCCTCATGAGGACAACGCGGCAGAGATCGCATGATGTGAGTTCGATCCCACGAGATCGTTCATTTCTTTGCTTGTACCGGTCAGCGAGCAGGTCAGCACGGTCAGCGTTGTCCAGTTTTACATGAGCTTTTACATGTAGTAGAGCATGGACTATGAAAGAAACACTTTGACAGCACATGTCTGCAGGTCAAAGTGCACATCGCTGTCTCGTAATAGGGCTAGGGTTTCGGTGTTGAACCCTTGTTGCACGATCTGTATGCCTCGCAATATACAGTGTAAGGCACCGACTCTTGACTACACTGTATAGTTTTACCAACGCGAGTTATCGCCCGTCGCATATGCCGCATCGTTGGGTGTTCGACGACCCCCGTCGTTTGACCATCGAGATCGCACAAGGCCCATTCTTGCATCGATACACGCCAGATAGTAGTTGTAGTTGGTCCGTTTAAAAGTAGTTCAAAATCGATTACAAGAGCGTCGCCGACTTGAGCTGCTTGGCGACTTGGGTCAAGACGACCGCGAGGCGCGAGCCAGCCGTGTACACGCGGTTCTCAAACGTTGCGAGGAGCTTGGCCTGGTACTCAGCACTCGGGCACGGCACCTTCTTGTTGGTGACGGTCAAATCAATGTCCTTGTAGACGACCGTGCGCGCAAGGCCGTACGACTCGAGGATCACCGCTTGGATGCCCTCGTTCTTCATAGCCTTGATGAAGTCCGGGTACGAGAGCGACGCGTACTTCTTGAAGTTGAGCGCATCGGCTTGGCCTTGGAACTTGGTGATGAGCGCCGTCGCGTTCTTGGTGATCTCGACGCGGTTCGGGTCGTTCTCGATCGGGCTCCAGTTGACCGGGTACCGGTTGGCCGCGCTGTCCCAGATCGCGTGGAGGTTGGTGCCGGCGTCGCACGGCTGCGCAAACTGGTAGTTGTTGCCGCCAAGATCGCCTTTCGGGAAGTCGGCCGAGATACCAGCGACCGTGTGGAGCGGCTGGTGCACGTCGCCAAAGACGTGGAGGAAGTAGCGCAGCATAAAGTTGGCCGACCAGTTGGAGCCCGTTTTGCCAAAGGTCGAGAGCGCGTTGTTGAGCGTGTCGACGGCGCGGCCGCCGATGGACGCAGCCATGAGCTGCTTCGGGTCCGTGATGCCGTTGTAGTCCGAGCCGTTGACGTTGAGCGGGATGTTGATAAAGTGCCAGTCGTCCTGCGTGCCGAGCGACGGGATGAGCGGCGACGGGCAGTACGGCGCCTTGGAGCTGCACTTGACAAGGTCCGGCCACATGGACGCCGACGTAATGTCGCCCGTGTACGGGAACTGCGTGTTCCAGCGGCTCAGAATCGTGTTGAGCGTCGAGACGTCTTCCTTGGCCATGAGCTGCGTGGCCACTTCGCCGACGGTCTCGTGACCGGCATCCCAGAACGCGTGGACGTTGGTGGAGGCGACGGCCAGCACCGCGAGCGTCGAGATCGTCTTCATTCTGCGAAAGGAAAAAGTGAAAATGAGTCGGCTCCCGCGCTGGGTCGGAGCAACCCAGCTGGACTTGAAGTACACCTATTTCCGGTGCTAATTGCATTACGAGTTCAAACCTGCCTGATCAGAGAGGCGCGACGGCCGTAATGTGCGGCTGTCGACTCGACAGGCAGCCGCAGATTCTGCAGCAATGGTTGGGCGATTCTCCCTTCTTGGCCCTTTCTATAGCGAATACGTCGTCGTTGGCCACATAGAGACTCTGTTCGACGGTGGCCGTCGTGGCCATTACCACCTCAACACCACGTGTTTCCACGCAGCTTCATGGCGCGTCTGAGTCAAACGACTGGTGCCTAGCTGCAGCACGACGAATCTCGGGCCGCTGACGACGCCTTAGCTTAGATTTTGCCCGTCTTTTGCGTCGCGCCACGAGGGGTGGGTTGATGGACGTGGATGCAGCCGCGTCCGCTCGACCCACGAAGATTCGCAGACGAATCTGCCGCTGCGGAATGACCAGCGTGACGTGGGACGACCGATCGTCCACGGTACATCTGAGCCATTGAAATGCATGCAAATCCATACACAGTGCAAGTGTAAAAGTTTGCACTACAAAAACCAAGTGTCTTTTGCGTGCATTCACCAGATGCCATGACGCACGCGCTTGGATTCCATCTGGGCCGCCGGTTGCAAGGTTGTCAACGGACGATCTTGGGTCCCATAGTGTATACACATCACACTCGGCGTAGGATGTGCATATGTGGTGCGATAGCCACGAGCTTCTCGTGTGTTATGAAGGTATACAGCTGGCGCGCCATCTGTAGCAACACTTCAAGATCGACGGCCAGCATTTGTTCATTTGTTGCTGGCTCACTTTGCTTTTTCTCACCCACCACGATGAAGACGACGTTGACGACCCTCGCCGTACTCGCGGCGACGACCCACGGCTACTGGGACCAGACGCACATGATCACGACGCAGATTGCGACGCAGCTCATGCCCGCCGAGGACCTCCGCTATGTGAACGCGCTCCTCTCGACGTGGAACGCTGACTTCCCCAACACGGGCGATGCCACGACCGCGACCATCTGGGCCGACCTCGTCAAGTGCGACTCGGTCGTCTCGACGTTCTGCCCGTCGCCGGCGCACCCGTCGGCGCACAACCAGGACGACTGGCACTACACCGACCTCCCGCTCAACGTCGACGGCACCGACTACATGGGCTTGACGTCCAAGGACGTGGCCAAGCTCATTGCGCTCTCGCCGGACGGTAGCGCGCTTACGGTCCTCCCCAAGGCCCTCAACACGTTCAAGACGACGCAGTCGACGTGGGCGGCCAACTTTGCGCTCCGCTACATCCTCCACATCTTCACGGACCTCCACCAGCCGTGCCATGCGTCGACGGGCGTCTCGCCCAAGTGGCCCGGTGGCGACGTTGGTGGCAACAAGTACAAGTTCCGCGCCACGTGCGACGGCGCCGGCAACCTGCATGCGTACTGGGACTCGGTCGCCGGCAAGTACGGCTCGATCAACTGGAGCCCGAACATGACGGCCGACTCGCCCAACCGCCAGACGATCAACGAGATTGCGCGCAGCCTCACTGCCACGTACGGCAACACGACGGACGTCGCCAACTTTGGCCAGTACGCCAACCTCCCGTTTGCCGACTTTGCCAAGTCCTTTGCGGGCCCGGCCCTCAACAGCGTCATGGCCACGTCGTACGACCTCGCGCGCTTCGTCACGTACAAGGGCATCGACCTGACGCTCGACGCCAGCGACAAGATCGCGTGCCCCGACGAGACCTACAAGAAGGCGACCATCGAGACGCTGGAACGCCAGGCGTATGTCGGCGGCGCGCGCCTTGCGGTGGTTCTGAGCCAAATCGCGCGCCAGATCAAGGCCTTGGGCCTCGTCACGCCCGGCGCGTGCTAAGCTGGACGCCACTTGTCTACACTGCACCGTAGAGGACTATAATACATGGGCGTATATATGTTCGATGTGGATCAATGGAGCTGCTACAACACAGCGGCACACTGCGATCTTGGCATCGGTGCCGGACGAGTGCCATTTGAGCCAGGGACGATCAGCAACCGAACCTTGGTTGGCGGCCAAGTCGGGGCAGTTGCGCAGCGTAATAAGGAGCCAGAGGTGGACGGCGGTCTGAAATCAGATTCGAAGCAACTCTTTGATAGCCGCCTGTATATCGCGAAATCGCATGCCTCAGCTCACGCGGGATAGCGAAGCTGATAGCGCTCCTGATATGTCGACGTTATGGGTTGTTGCATACACCTCAACAAAGTTTGTTCCTATCTCGGCCTCCACAGAGCCCAACGCTTTGGATTCGCTTTGGCTAAAGACAGTCTTGTTCGCGTACGTGTACGCAAAACGACGGGCGCACCGAGTGTGGGACTCTCACTGCTCGTCGTCATGACGTCGTTGTACTCTGAAGGTACTCGAGATGCGGTTCCATAGACACTGGGTACGACCAGCATCTCGCGTGCGATGTACTACACTGCACACCAGGTGCATGGACGACGCGCGATGCAATGACTTCAAGCCCTCAATGTCCAGATTCACAGAGTGATTAGTTACTATTTTACCAGACCCACCAATTATGCGACTCACGACGCTGGCCGTGTATGCTACGACGACCGCCGTCGCCTTCTGGGACGCGGGCCACGAGACGGTCGCGGAGATTGCGACGCAGCTTTTGCCCAAGGACGACGTGGCGACTCTCAACTCGATTCTGAGCCGCTGGAACAGCCAGTTTCCCAACACGGGCGAACTCACGACAGCGGCGATCTGGCCCGACCTGATCAAGTGCAGCTCCAAGGCGCCATACTGCCCGTCGCCGCTGCTGCCGTCGCTCTACTGGCTCGACGAATGGCACTACCTCGACTTGCCGCTCAACGTCAACGGCACTGATTGGCATGGCCTCACGTCCAAGGACGGCGACAAGCTCATCGCGGCGTCGATCGGCGGCAAGGCCATCGACACGCTCAACAACGCACTCTCGACCTTTGGCAAAACAGGCTCCAACTGGTCGGCCAACTTGATGCTGCGGTTCCTTCTGCACACGTTTGGCGACGTGCACCAGCCGCTTCACACGGTGGCTGGTATCTCGGCCGATTTTCCCAACGGCGACAACGGCGGCAACAGCTACCAGTTTGCGCAGCCGTGCAACGCGGGTTCCAACCTCCACGGAATCTGGGACAGCGGTGCCAACTTGTACCCGGTCAACTGGAGCCCCAACGTCAACGACCCGAACCGGCTGGAGATCACGAAGAACGCGACGGCGCTCATCGCCAAGTTCCAGGGCCAGCCCGATGCGCTCAACTTTGCGCAGTTTGCGGGGCTGTCGTACCCGGACTTTCTCAAAGCGATGAAGAAGACGGGGATCCCGTCCGTCTTTTTCGAGTCGTACGACCTTGCCCGCTCCGTCGTCTACAAGGGCATTGATTTGACCGTCAGTAACGGCAAGGTGCCGTGCCCGACGCCCGAGTACCAGGCCAAGCTCCTCGCAACGTTCGAGCAGCGCGTGTACACGGCCGGCTCGCGCCTCGCGGTGATTTTGAGCCAAGTCGCCAAGCAACTCCGGTCCGCCACGCTCTTGTAAGCCAAATAAGGATCGTCAAGGTCATCGGATATACGCAAAGAACTCGAAACATTGATATTTCGGCTGCGCATTTGTCATCGATACGGTTGGCATCGCATAGCCTCTTGCAATACGCTGCAACAAGCTACGACTCCTCGGATTCGAGAGGGTCGACACAAGCTCACAGCGTACTAGAGTGTGACGGGACTGCGCATGTACCTCCGAAAGAGGGCCAATTATTGCCATAAAATTGGGATTTTGTCCGCTTACGGCGTTCCCACCCCCGTCTAGTTTCATTTGCGCAGCCGTTTCAGCAACGATGATCCGCGATGGCAAGCCGCTCGTGCCCCCCGTGTAGGCTACGACCCCATTTACTTAATTAAAGGACTTGGAGCTAGAGACTTTCACGCGCCGTCGCAGGTTGACGAAGGGTCCCAGCTGGCCGAGGCGACGCCGCAAATCGACTTGCCCCAGCGCATGGACGCCCCCCTCGTCGTGAGTGCACCCCTATTCGCTAGCCAGAGAAAGCGTGCTCTCTAGATGAACACGCCCGAGCGCCTACCGAGCATGACGCGGGACGCACGGGTGCGGCAGCTCGTCTTCTCCGTTCGGTCGATCGCCAAGCGCAAGTACGAGCGCACGCACAGCATTCCGCTGCCCCCCGAGACGATCAACTTGGACCAGCCGCTCGAGACTGCCCACGACTCGAAGCGCCTCAAGGACTATGCCATGCTCGTCCGTCCTCTTTTTCAAAATGCTAGTTTGAAGTGGTATCGCAAACGTGTAGGCAGCATCGAGCAAGCGCGCAGGGCGGACCGATGCCGAAGCGACAGCTTATTTTGCGTACACTATCGTCCTTGCATCGGGTGTGTACAATATTGTCTGTAGCATGGGTGTCATCCACGACAACGTCGACGAGTTTGAGCGTGCGATCGACATGTACAAGAAGGCATTGGCGCTGCTCAAGGACTCGGACAAACTGGCGTTCCAAGGCCTCGTGCATTCGTGCATTGGTGTCGACTACCAAGTATGACAGATCATTGCTGCATCGTATGGGCAATGCCACAGCGTAGCTCCTCGCGTCGGGGCACACGGCGTACACGGGCCGGTTCTTAGCGCCCGAGAGCCCCGAGCTGGAGCAAGCGCTCATGTTTCATCAAAACCACCTCGACCTCAACATGGACGACGCCGGCACGTTTGTATCTTACACAAACCTTGGCTTGACGCTCGGGAGCCTCGGGCGCGTACGTACGAACGGGCGACTACGACCTCACTGTTTCTAGTTTGTGGACGCGGCAAAACACCACCAAGAAGCTCTGCGTCTTGCGATTCGGCTCAACAGCGCCTATGGCCAAAGCATCGCCGTGGGCAACCTCGGGCTTCTCGCAAGCCGCCAAGTCGGTTACCCCTTCCTCGACACCCCACGAGAAATATACGATGTAGGGCGACGTGGCCACGGCCCGCGCGTGCATGGACCAGCACCTCCAGCTCATCCAGACGGTCCAAGACCGGTCGGCCGAAGTGAACGCGTGGATGCAGCTCGGGTTCCTCGCAACGCGCGAGCTCAAGCACGACAACGCCGCGCGGTACTTTGAACAGGCGTACCAACTCGCCAAAGACCTCCGCGAGATCGGCATGATGAAGCAAGCGAGCTGCTACCTCGGCATTGCGCGCGGCTGCGTGCACATGCATACGTTCTTTGCGCGTCTGCAGCCCACAGCGTTGTGAGCGACCGCGTCCGGAACACAAATATGTTCATTTGAAGATAACGACAGTGGAGAATATTGTCATTAGTTGGCGGCGAGTGCTTGGCGCAACGCATCAATGCGCTTGAGGTGGGTGTCGTTGATGGCGCCGACGATCTGCTTGCGCACGATACGCACGTCGTCGTCGCCGCGGATCGATGCATCGAGGTACCCGAGCACCTACACGAGAGACATGATGTAGCGGTGTCACAAGAGGGGGAGACAACGTACAGCTTCAAACTCGAATTCGAGGCCGCCGGCGCGCTGTTCCAGCTGCGCCTTGGTGGGCCGCGACGTTGTTCGGCGTGGCGCGGGCGGTGCCTCATCAGTATCGCGGTCGAGACGCTCCAGCTCTGCGTCGACATCGAAAGAATCCCACTTTGTCTTGAGCTTTCTCCCTGTCGAGTCGAAATGGTAATCTAAACCAGCATGAGAGACGCGCCGCCGACGACGGTTGTTACAAGAATTCAGGCTGCCATCGTCGACGGCGGCTTCTTCGGCCGGCGGTGCTAGGAACGCCTTGACGTCCACCTCGAGTGCGTCGAGCTTGGAGCGCACGGCGTCGACGATGGTCTGCACCTCGTCCAGCAGCTGCAGCGCCTTCTTCTTCTGCTGCACATGCCTACGCGAGCGCATACGTGGGCCATTGCAGGAGCAGCGAGCGATTGTCGCGTACGCTGGCTCGGTCGTCGCGCGGTACACGACGTACGAGAGGGCGGCGATGCTGGTGACGACGGCCGGGAGGTGCCACCACGGGCTCGGACTCGGTCGCATGCTGCGCAAAATGGCCTGGCTAAAGCGACGCCAATCACACGGACCAATCAGCGTAGCGCATACTGGGCCAAAGACGTGCATTTCGACCAATGGAACTGCGATGCGTTATGGACGCGCCACGTCATGCATCTCGCGACTTGCTGGCGTCAACAGCAAGGGCGTGGCAGAAGCGCAAGGCAAGGTAGCGTTGGCAACGCAGTCACGTCTGCCTCTCGCAGTACTTGGTGCCAGTGCGGGTAGACGTCTTGAGCAATCGTTGTGGACGAGCAGGGCATCGCAACATCAGGCTATGCCTCACATCATCGGCCAAGACTTGTAGAAGTAGCTTTGGCACGCAGCGCCAACACCAAAGTCGACAGCACGATACATGAACGTCGTCGTCATACGTGTCGCCATCGGTATCGGGCGCAACGACCTTGGACTAGATGTCTTGCCCGCTCGCGACTCCGGCTGCCGAGACATCCTGATTCTGGGTGCATCTACTAGTATAGTATAGCTTGTATGATAGTTGCTGCTTGGCCCGGCTTGGCTCTCTGCGGCGAACGTCTTGCAGGGAGCGCTGACGTGCGCTGCAGCTTCACGGTCGGTGAGCCCAACATGCTTGACCATGCGCACGTGCGTTCGCGCGCACTTGAAGTTCTAGAACATTGGAGAAGCTCCGATCTCGTATTTTTGTGGCGAGAGGCGAAATAAAATGACGGAAAATAATTTGCACATAGTTAAACCAAATGGAAAGGAGTGGCGCTGTATTTTATTTGAGGCGAGCTTTGTATCGCGCCGTTTGTGGGGCCCATTTTCCGAAAAAAGATATTTCCCCCAGAGGACACCAAGACAGACGCCATGTCGATCAAGCTCTTCATCAAGAACGAGGTAGACGCCCATGAGGCCATGGCGCGAGAGGCCCTCATGCGTATGCTGCTACGTAGATCCACTCGATCCAGCTCCAGTTCGACGTGAACGATAGCATTGCCGCCGTCAAGGTGCGTCGATCGATGCCCATCATGCGGCTTACCGGTGCGTGTAGGCTGCATACCAGAAGAGCGGCAAGGTGCAAGGCCGCTTGGACTACATTGTGCTGCTTCATCGCGGCAAGGAGCTCCAGGACGAAAAGTCGATCGCCGAGCATGGCATCAACGACGGCGCGATCTTGGTCCACATTGAGACCTTGCACGAGCCGTTCCGGCCCGTCAACTACGCGGTCCTCGCCGATGCCATCAAACAGCGCCACTTGCACGAACAAGCCAACCTCAAGATGATGCAGCAAGGTACGCAGGTCCATGATTCTCTTGCACTCAGCTCTTTCCTGCATTAGACAATATTTGGGCCGCGGGCGAAGGCAGGATGCACGGGCAAGCGAGTCGGCGCTCATCGTGGTGTAGATGGCACGATGCATCACTTGGGCTTTGACAAGAGCATCATCTCGCGGTCGTCGCCGAAGAGCACGCCGTTGCCGCGCCAAAAGAGTATGTCCTTATTCTGCTCCAAGGTGACTAAGATCGTTCCCTGCACAGGCTCGGGCCGCACGTTCTTCAACCAAGTGTCAGTGCTCGTCAACGGCTGCAGCTACCACGTTTTGCCCAGGTAGCGACAAAGTAGTACGTCCCCTGGCCTCATTTCTCTTGAGTAGCATGGAAGGTCGCTGGAATGGCGAGCTCGAGTCGATTCCGTCGCAAGACGAAGGCACGCAAGTGTGCTCGTGCGAACTCACGTTCCGCGAGGAAGGTATCACGAAGCGTCCCCCATTCCCGCGTACTCATGGGCACAGAAGGCGTGTGGAACCTGCGCCAGATGCGCACGTCAATCAGCGGTCTCACAACGACGCAGCACTTGTGGATCAAGCCCGCGGCCGACGGCGTCCTCAAGGTAGAGTCGGATCGGCCTCTTTTGCGCGTGTGGCTGAGTTTATTGCTAGCTCGAGACGGACGACCCGTCGTTGCGCGGCAGCGACATTACGATGCGCGAAGTGGGTGCCAACATTTTGATCATCACGGCGACCTCCAAGCGCACAGGTAACACATCAACACTCGTCGTTCTTGCCTCATGCGTGGTCGGGCAGGTCGCCCGGTCATGGTGGAGACCATCACGTCCATCGACAGCACCCGCCGCCTCCGCACGGTCCAGCGCTTTGATGAGACGGGCGGCTTCCGCTTTGTCTACGTCATGAACGAACGACGGTACGACCGGCTTCTGTCACGCATGCCGGCTCACGCCATAAGGGTAGGGTCGTCGACGCCGTCTCGGGGGCCATGGAGCGCTACGACCCCAATTTTTAAGACGTTCTATCTGCATAACAGCCAAACAATGAACCGAGTGTGTTGATATGACGAGGCTACGTGCGGGCCATGACGTGCGACTTGATGTCGTTGATGTAGTTCATGCTGTAGCTGCCGCGCCGACGCAGCTCGCTGCGGAACGACGTGGGCACGATGGGCGTTGGGTTGCTCGCATCGTTCTTCTGGCTCTCGCCTCGCTCATGGGTCGCGATCGCAAGCAGTGGCAGCAAGAGGAGCAGGTAGAGCCCCGCGAGCACGAGCAGGCCCGCGGCCACGTAGCCCTTGTGGGGCATGGGCAGGCTGTACACCTCGAGCGCGAACATGCGGATGTGCAGGCCGAGGTCAATGCGCCCGCCCAGGTAGCCAAAGCTCACGAGGACGAGGGCGACGAGCGGGTTGATCATCGCCGTCTCGGTGTGTGGTCCGAGGCCGGCTATCCGGATTTCAATCGCAACCGGACGCCGACATTTTCGTCAATTGTGCCGGAAAGTAAAATTAAATTTAAAAATTAAATTGCTTTTGCATTGCAATTGCTCGTGCGAATCGCCAATTGCATCGACTAACTAAAGAGTCAAGTAGTAAAACAGTAGACAGTAGAGCGCAAGAAAGATGGGTTCGATCCCCATTTGAGTGCTTTAGTTCCTTCTGTACATATGTACAAAGTGTCTACAAGGTCCAGACAAGGTAGATGTTGCAGACCACGTACGCGATGAGGAGTGCAATGCCATCGCGGGGGCTAAGGCCAATGAAGAAGCCCTTGGACTTGGTGCAGCACGCGCAAATGACACCGCGAAAGTTGAGCACCAAGTAGGCAAAGATGATGGCCGCGAGCCACTTCCAGAGCACCGACTCGTTCTGGAACGGCAGCACAATCTAGACACCAAATGTATCAGATCCAGATCCGGAAACATTGCGAGCTCGTCTTACCACGCCGTGAAACAAGTTGTACATGAGCCACGGAAAGCCGCTGCCGAGCGTGACGTTGATGACCTGGGACCCGACGGCGTTGCAGACGGCTGCGTCCGCATGCCCAGCGCGGGCGAGCGCGACCGACGCGATTGCATCCGGGATCTGCGCGCCGAGCGCGAGGAGCGTCACACCGGCGACGGTCGTCGAGAGGTGCAGGCTCGTGCTCAGAATGCGCGTGAGGAGGAGCGCGCCGGCCGAGAAGAGCGCGACGTACGTAATCGAGAGCACGAGCGTGAGCGGGTAGTACGCCCGCGTCGGCGACTCGACGTTGCACTCGGGCAGCGTGTACGCAAAGAGGAGTCGGTACGGGCGCGACGCAAGGTCCACGATTTCAAGCACCACTTCGACGACGCAGTTGGTCGACGCCGCTATAGGTACAATGAGACATCCAGTACAGACAAGACTTTAACGTACGGGTCTCGTCGGTGGAAATGGCGGTCGTGCCATACGTCGTCGGCAAGAGCGGGTGCGCCGGGTGCAGCGCTTGGTCGAGCATGTGCGCGTCCTTCCCAGCCGGCGTCGTAAAGTTGTGCGCGTCGTCGCCCTCCGTCGGGTGGCGCGCGCGGATCCAAATGGGCACAAAGATCGCGAGCATGTACAGCACGTAGATGCCACAGAGCAGCGCCGAGTTCCACGCCGAGACGACCGAGTCGACCATGATGTAGACGAGCGCGCCGAGGCTAAAGATGTACGCGAGCGAGTCGCGCACGACGGGGCCCCACGAGACGGCGAGCGGCGTCGGTGACACGAGTGCGCATAGCGCGGGAATGAGCGCGAACGCGATGATGGCCGAGCCCTGGATCGCCGACAAGCTCGACTCCATCGACTCGATCTGGCCCTCGGCGGTCGCGACCGCGTTGAGGAGGATCTCAGGTGCCGCGCTGCCAAAGGCGAGGAAGCTCGCGCCTGCGGCCTCTTCCGGGATCTTGAGCTTCTCGCAGAGCGTCTCGATCGCGGGCACGAGGTAGTCGTCGCACACGATCGCGAGGCCGAGGAAGAGGTAGAGGAGGCCGACGATCGCGAGGACGGCGTCCCAGCCCGCGTAGGTGGCGGCCTCGAGGGTGGGCGAGAGCGTAGCGTTGGCGGTCGTCTGCGCAGAGACGGCGGCGGCCATGGCGGCGGCGGCGAGGACGCGGCGAAGCATCCGAACACTCGCTGGTTGTGGGGTGATTGCCAAAGTGATTTCGAAATTGTCGCGCACGATAACCGGATGATGCAAGAATGCACTTTATTTTCCGGAATTTCGCCAAGATTCATAGGGCCACCCCCGTCTTGCTCGGCCCCAACGTGCACGCATTTACTAGGTGGGGGATCCAAAAAAGCGGGTATTTAGTAGGTCCCATTGAGGGGTCCCATTACAATGCCAACGTGACGCGGCCTGATCCAGGAGCCTCCATCCTTGACCTGGCACAGCTTTCTGGCGTCAACTTGTGCACAAAGTTGATAATTTACACAACGTGTTATCGTACAAATACCAAGGGCTAGGTGTACGAGCCATTTACTGTAGTCACCGCAATAGTCGCCGCTTGTCATACCGGCAGCTAGAACCGCCCGCTCGAATAGAGGCGCCTGCTAGAGAAGTGGAGCAGCAACCATGGCGCGACCACCTCGTGCAACATGATACGTTGTATCACTTCACAGAGTAGCATTGATATCGAATTAGAAACTCCTCATTGCTCTCGAATGGGCGGCAGCTTAGAGCTTGGCGCGCTGGACTTTGGCGCGGAGCGGTGCCAAGTAGGCCGAGAGCGACACGGTCGAGTCGTTTGGGAACGCGCGGCTCGCGGTCATGAGCGACTCGTACACGTCGCCGTCGTAGCGTCCGAGGTTCGAGTTGAGGCTCAGGTCCGAGAACCCAAACGCATCGACGAGGCTTACTGCGTGGGGGCGGATCGCCGAGAGGAGCCGCACTTGGTGCGCGTCGTAGGCTGCGGCCGCCGACAGCGGCAAGCCGCCGTGCACCAAAAAGTCGCTCATGTCCTCGAGCACTTGGGAGACGCAAAAGAGCGAGAAGATGTCGCTGAGAATTGCGTGCGTCGGTGGCGAGAGGCCTGCGTCACGGAGCTGCGCCGCAAATTCGCGCACGAGCACGTACTTGCCAAAGCACTAGCGGCGCCATGAGAGATTTGCCAACTTGATATTTGCCAATGGACTACCATGGACAGGTGGTGCGACGCAATTAAGTTGGCTTGGATCGCTTCTTCCAGAG